ACCACATCCTGTAAGCTCTGAAACGCACCTACCCGCCGCAGCGGGCCCTGTCGGGTAGCATTGACCAGTCTGCTTGTGGCCAATGCCACATGTAGCGGCTGGACTAACTGCAGCCCCGCCTGAGCGACTCCACGGATGCCAACGTGCTTTTGTAGGAGCCTGTCGATGGTGGCGATCTGAATTTCAGTGGCGCCACCGCCGGTGGGCTGCTTGGGATCCCCAGTACGGATAAGGAGAACATCATCTGCCGCCTCCGTAACGTTGACTGACTCGGTATGTCCCTCTTGCTGTCCTTCGTCGATGATCAAAGCACGGCAGTGAACTAGCGCCGACAAGATCTCGGACCGATATCTCCCCAACTGCTGGGCTCCTGACCCCTGTGTGATTGGAAGGATGCGTGCCTGGAGCAGCGGGGGTGGCACAGTTGCCCCCTCCTGGTCTTGGGCGCGCTGTTCCGCCTCGAATTGCTCATCCTGCCCCCTGTCTTTGGGTTCTCCGCCGTGGGTCAGGGGCACATGGTCGTGAACAGTGGAGAACAAGTCCTGTTTACCTGATACACGGCGGACGACCAGCATGCGTCGTAGCCAAAGCGGCGCATCCGCCAACACGTTGTGGGAGATCATAAGCACCGCCAGGAGGGCGGCGTGCTGTTGCGATGTCCAAACGACAGGAAAATCCAATACGGCGTCAATGCACAGTACCGCCAGCAGAAGGGAAAATGTCTTGGACGCTCCAGGGCAGCCCAAGATGTTCAGCGATGTACGGTTCGTGCCCCGCGCCACCAAGATGGCCTGAATGTGCGAAATCAGGAGTCCGTCTGGATCTTCAAGCAGAAGGTTGATGAGCTCACAGAAGGCGCGGCCACGCATGTTCGCGGCTTCCAAGTAGATGGCTGGAATCTCGTCTCGTGGTGCCTCCCACCCTTGCCCTACCCGCCGCTGTGAGTGTCCCGCCTGTAACCTGTGTTTAGTGTCGAGGAGCACACTGCGATGTGCGGCCCACGCAACAGAAGCTGCCTGCTCCGGGTTGAACAGTCCCTCGACCGCCATGACTCGGCAGGCCTGGAGAAAAAGCAGGACCATTTCCACCTCACTCGCGAAATCCGCGTCAGAATGTGTAGTCGGCCTGGAGGCGGTAGGGCCCGGCACCCCTAAGGACAATGGCACACGACCCATCGGCAATGCAAGGACGCGTCGAAAGAGGCCGAGGCCCCCGCCGGACTTCAGGCAAACAAGTCTGTGGTAAGGGAGGGTGACAGTCGGTGTGCACTGGGCAGTTGGCGATGGCTGCAAGACGGCCGGCCACTCGTGAACGAGAATCTCAACAGAGCTGGGGTTGAGTTTCCTGAGGTGTCTGTCGTATGGACGCTCACCTCGTTTGCGGTTGATATGTAGTTCCTTGAAGATTCCCACAAGCTTCACGGGGGGTGGGCCGCCCACTTCCAAAGGGAACTGCCGTTCGAGGTGGGAAAACCAGTTGCGGACATTGCCCCTCGGAGAAGAGGCCACAACCTTTAACAGGTAAGCCCCAAAGCTAGTGCACGTCGTTGCCGTGATGGTGACCAAAAGATTCTGGAATTCCCGGGAACCTGCCACTCTCGCGCTAGGAGCAGCGTGCCTATGTGGCTCACGCCTGCCCTCCTCCGTGGAGTCCGCCAATGTGGCGCCCTTACTGAAGAGGTGGAAGTAGAGGAAATCAACAACTCGTGGCAGGGTGTGCCGCACAAGCGCGCTGGCAACCGGCGCTGGAAGCCCGCTAGTCGCTCTTACTTCTGGTGTAATGTGGTGTAGTTCGATGGTGCTGAGCAGCCATGCCTTAAGGCGGCCCACTACTGCGGTAGCGGGCTCCTGGTTCGCTGTCAACTCTGCCGAGAGTGCGGGCGGCAGAGCGCTCTGCAGACTGGCCAAGCCAGCGTCCGTGAGGTCCGCATTCGGGAAGAGCGTCCGCATGACCCGCGTATGTGGCGAATCGCTAAAGACCGGAAAACGGAACAGGTGCAATTGTTGGTAAGCCAGACGTAATTCCTCGTCGTCGTTGATGAGCGGCAGGAAGGCGCGGCACTGTGCGACATCGACCTCTGAGGGCAGGCACTCCAGCCTTTCCAGTAAATGGCGCTGAAATGGTCTATGCAACATCGAGACCTCCGGCGGATTGAGGGGTGAATCCAACATGGCATGCGCCGTCCTGATCACACTCGCCGGTGACAGTAGCAAGCTGGTGTGTTGACCTGCGTAGGCCAGCCGAGCCGGTTCTTCAACGAACAGATGTCCTTTGTCACCCTCCACTGTGGTCTCCGTCTGGCACCCCGTGGGTCCATAGCATTGCTGCGAGCATACCACTTGCCATTCCTCCGTACGGCTCGGGACATGGAATGCCGCCGCCCCAGAGCACCTTATGGGGCGATTCTCGACCGGCAGCGATAGGTCGTTCTCATCTGTCGTGGAATCTAAGTGTGCTCTGCCAAAACGGCCCACCCTCTCAAAGTACGCGTCGAGCAGGGTGACATCGCTGGCTAGCGCCCCCTGACCAGCTCGGGAGGAGCCTCGAGAGTCCCACCGCCCACGCAGGCGGTTTGCCCCTCCAGCCCCAGAGGCACTCTGCGAGAGTTGGCAGAGCCCGTAGGTGGTCCAGCGATCTCAGGTAGATTTTGCCACCCGCTCCGTATCCGTGCACAAATGCCGGCCCGACTACTGAGTCATTATCTGGTAGACGCTTGCTCATAAAGAGCCCGAGTCCGGGCAAGCAACCGATGCGGCATCGCTGGTTGCTCATGGCGTACAAGGTAGAATTCGCGCATTGCTCGTGTGCACCGCGGGCCCAAGCCAGCGCGCCTGGGAACGGCGCTAACAGCTCGGCAACTGGTTCCCGAGGTCGAGGGACCCTGCAAGCGGCTGTGTAACCCTCTGCTGTATCCGGTTGCCAATAGAAGGCCTTGAATCAGGAAACCCACGTAGGCCCAGGCAGCGGCGACATCACCCGAGTGCCTAGCCTGAGCGCCCATCAGCGGTGTACCCGCCAGCAACTCAGCTTGTCTCCAGTCGGAGGAGACAGTGCTATGCGGCAGCGTGGGTAGAAGAGTCCCCCATGCTCGCACTGCCGTAAGTACTCATCCATTGGATCGCCAGGCTCTAGGGAGGAAGCCAACTTCCTGTGGGGTGCGGCCTGGTTGAGCCGTAAACACGGAAAATCCTCCCTGGGCATCAGTGGAGGGCTCCGATATAAAGATCACCCCGACGTGACTCATGTCACGAGGCCGCTGCCCAAGGCCATAGCCGCCCGGGGCAAAGTCCCTTTTGGGGCCGCGTACGGGGGACCCGTAGCGATTCCTCCCGTGGTGTGGGTACATCCTGTAGGATGGCGGCCTCCGCCGCCAGCTCCTGCAGGTCCCGAACCTCGAAAAGCGAGGTCGGTGCCGCGTCATGGGCCGCCAGTAGAACGTGCTTGCCTGGCAGCATCGTGGTAATTAACCACAGTGCATACACCTTGCCCCACCAGATCGGGGCGTCAGTAAGGGCCGTCTCGGCCTGTATGGGGACAAAGAGCGCGGAGTGCTTTTCCTCATGCCTCCCAATCCAACGCCCTCGGTTAATGATAGGCGGCAGTGCGTGTTGAGCATGCCGGTACGTTGTTACCTCTGCCGTGTCCGTGTACAGCCACAAGGAATCACACATAAGTATCCCGGGCTGTCCGCCCCAAAGCTGAGTAGGCGGAACCCAAACTCACTGACATACTCGTGTTCCGGGCACACCGCACCAAGGCGTTTCACCCTGCGTGGACCTTTTTGGCGCTCAAGCAGGCGCTCAACCACTGCCACCCAGTGCTGTCCTGTCTCCACCGAACCTGCTGTGACAATGATGTTGACCTCAAGCTGGCGTGCCACAAACACGTGTCCCCGAAGAAAGGGCCCAGGGATGTGAACTTCATTGCAAATTGCATTGTGCTGCGGCTGACCGTCGACGAGTTGCTGCCAGCCTGCGGTAGCATGCGGTGGGTGCGGAAGGCTAGCCTCGCAGAGAGCTTGGATAACCAGGGTTCCTTCGTACCACTGGAAGTGAACCGAGCTCTCGGCCGCAAGTCGCCTGTGAACAACCGCTTGCGTGAGAGTCATAACGCTTGGCTTCGGCCATCGGCCTCCCGCGAGCCCGGTGTGAAATAGGCGCGCAGCCTCACCGGTCCCCAGCGACGTGATCAAGGGAGCGGCGGCAGCCATGGCGGAGGGCCTGGTGAGGCAACCGGGCTACAGACGAATGTCCGAGCCCGGGCCTGTCTCTGCAGCTGTTTGAGCCCAGGCAGGTGCAAATTTAGAAGATGAAACGCACCTCGACCCACAACCGGCTGGCACAGCAAGGGGCAGAGTTTTTGGTCACCGCCGTACAAGCCTCCCGCCGCGCTCAGTCGCTCAGGAAGCAGGTGAGGTATCCCTGGCGCTGGCCATAGTCAATATCCGTATTGTCGCGGATGTAGCTGCGCACGTCAGAGACCTGCTTGAAAAAGATGCGGCACGTCATGTGCTCGTGGCGCTGCCATCCACAGAAGGACTCGACCACCACAAGATTGCAGCCGGCCGCCGAGGCAAGCAGGAGTGTGACTTCGAGAGCTGCTTCGGAGAGTGCAAAGGTGCCATCTTGCCGGATATCATAGTGAAACCGATCTCCGCCACGCACATTAATGCCGGCGTCCAGGCGCTGCCAATGGGGCGTAGCCATGGCTCAATTTTGCCCCTACACTCAAGAGCATAAGATCGAGGCGTTTGCCGCCCCTCAGGAAGCTCAGTCGAATGCCTGGCTTCACTTCGGCGCCGAGAGTTACAGCCTCGACTCGGCAGTCACACCCTAGGAAGCTCAAGCGAATGCCTGGCGTCCTCGAGCACAGAAGGCTGCAAGGACATCCGGTGCACTTGCGCGCGTACCAGCAAAAGCAATCATGCAACGGCGCTTTCAGACACCTCACCACATGGCTCTCGGGGCTGATCTGGCACTCTAAGCAGGGTATCCGCTCACTCAGTTATGGTAGAAGGCCTGATAGCCGTGATGTCCCTGGACGTCGCGGTAGGAAGGGATACCACTCGCAGCTTCACGAGGATCTCCCGGCACCGACTTAAGCCATGCCATGCGACGACTAGCCTCAATGACCACACAATTGCAATTGTAGAGGGCAGCGATCATCTGTGCGAACTGGACAAATGGAGCATCGACTTCCCCCGACGAACTGACTTGCAGGATGTCATGGTGTGGAATATTCAGACCAGCTCCGAGCGCCTCCCATTTGCGAACGTGCCCCGGCCGCTGTAGCTGAAGGACCACGCCAGTGACAGCCGTTTGGACGGGGAATGCGGCCGGCGCTTCGGCCAAGGGTTCCATGCGCGGCTTGGAGGTGGCGGGGATTGAACAGCCTGGGGTACAGCAGAATTGCCGACCCGATAGCAAGGCCCGAGGCACAGTCAGCTATGAGCAGGAAACAAATGGCGACATCGCCAGCACACATGCAAGTACCTTGGCGGGCAAAACTGCATAGAACCCCCATGTGCAAGCATGCGGATGGCTAGTGACTTTTCAGCGCGCAATGAGCTCCGGCGTCACAGCCATTCAGCCGGTCGATGCGCAATCGAATTGCATAAAAAGAGCCGGACCGTGTCCCACATGCGGTTGTACACAGCTAGCCCAAAAGGCGTTTCATCACCCTCGTCGTCTCCCTGCTCAAAGCCCGGATCAGCCCGGGCGCAAAGCAGTAGTCTGGTAACAGCAAGCGGGGCTGTATAGCCCACCGCATCAAGGAGTGCAAAGTGCAACGTGCGCCGATCCGGCGGGGAGCCCGCCACCAGCAACTCGTAGACAGTGGCCACGCTCCCTGACTTGACCGCCGTAAGAAGTGCATTGTGCACAGGTTCCTGGGGGGCAGGTTCATCGAGCTCGTGAAAGGGCCACTGGCGGAAGTAGTTGCACAGGATGGCCACTTGGAGAGTATCACCGCAAGGCAGCCAGCTCTAGCGCCGTACGAAGGCGGTCACCACCAGGCATTGCGCGACCCCGCATAATCTCAAGGACCCGGATGAGTACCACCACAGGTTGGTCCAGTGCCCACACCACAGGGCACAACTGAGAGCCCCACACCCAGCATCTAGCGAAGCCATCGGCCAGCTCGACCGCGCGGGTGAGTGACAGGGGATCGTCTTGAAGCAGCGAATCGCGAATGAAGGTTTGTCGCTCGATAGCTGTGCCCCCATCCATGGGGTTAACGAGAATGAGTTGGTAGCAACCGCGCACAATGATGCCACTGGGGTCATTGGTAAAGCCATCCCCATTCGGCAAACACTGTATAAGGCGTCCCCACTGAGGCGCATAGCCGACTAGGGCCGCAGCTGCCCACTCCAAGTCCTTGTGCAGGACAGGATCCTCAACGGAAAAGACCAGGCCACCATCGGGGGGGTACACCGTGATAGTTCCTTCGCTCCCCCAGGCGCGCACTCCCTGATGGGCCGCTCTATGTTTGGGCATCACCGCCGCTTCCTCACCGCAGGCTGGTTGCCAGACGGTGGCTCGGTGTCGGAGGGCCGAAGGATCGGCCCCTGCCGCAAGCAGCCAACCGACGTACTGATAATGGGCCATGAGCATGTGGCGAGCAATCACCGTGACTAGCTGCCACGGCCACGGGGCAGCCCCATACCACATCATGTCAACCAGCCAGCGCGGCGACGTCGCAGTGGCGTGTTCCATATCGCTAACGAGCATCTCCCGGAACTGTGCCCGCAGCTCCCTACCCACAAGGTAGGAAACGAAAATACGCCGCCGTGCTGGCCGCCGCCGGCGGTGTCTGATCTCCCTGAATCCAAGTGCTGAGTAACGGCCGGAGCAGCTGATTTCGAAGGGCGAAGTAGTGCCGCAAGATCGCCGGGAAGGCAAGCCCGGCATTGGCATATAGGGCTCCCAGCCCACGCATCCATCCAGGCGCCATCCACACTCTCTGGCATAACACACCATCGCCAAGTCGCCCCTCCGCATCTTATCCTGGATCCAGGTAATGGGGGGGGGGGGCCGACGTCACTACCCGCAACAGCAGGACCATGCGCGTAAAATGGCGCGGGTTGTCCACTTCTAGATCCTGCCCAGCTGCGTCCGTGATCCCCAGCATACCGGCAGGCACACCGACCAGCGGCTCAAGGAAGTAAAGAAAATCCCGGTGACCCAAGATACCAGGGCAACGAACGAGCGGCAGCGGCACAGGCCGTGTTTGGGCCAGCCGCGCTGTGCCCATCCGGAGCCAACGGCAGAATAGTGGGCCCGGTGGGTCAGAATGCAGGCACAGGCCAGCGGTCCTGACATCCTCAAGTGCCATCGTAACAGCAGCTGTAGCCTCATCCGGGCCAGGCGCTTCCATGGCGCAAACAGGCAGGTTCGCAGTGGCGTGGCCAGGGAGCGCCAGAATTGGCGTCCCTTCTGTTCGAGCCAAGCTGTTTCGAGCACTTGCTTTAACGCACCCATGCAACGCCGACCGGACGAACAG